GTAGGCATCAAACTCCAAAATATGAACAGATAATCTGATTTTTGGAGGTATTGAAGAAAAAATATTATCTACTAATTTTCTTGTCCAAATTTAGTTAAATCTCGCTAAACTATGCATTTGTACCAGAAACTGTTTTCTTACACGTGTAGTTATGATGCAACAAAGCCTTTCAAAATTAACTCACCACACCCCCTGGCCGCCCCTGCTCTCCTTTTTCACCTTTCATCCCCTGGCGTGGAAATCATTAGGTCAACATTAGATTATATAAAAAAAAACACATAAAATCAGGTTTCAGACTTCAGCCAATGCTGTATATGCAAAGTACTGTAGATGGTGCTGTCCATTAAAAAATCCACTTAAAACAGGAAGAATGACACATATTTATAGTAGTATTGAGTTTTAATGTAGTTCAGTGTAGCCATTTCATTCTCATTAGCATTGCTTAAATTAAAAAAAATATGTTGTTTACATCCCAGATCAGAGAAACCTCCTGTTCCAAAAAAGCAAGTAAAGCTGACGTGAAAGCTTCCAAATCCAGATACAAGATGTGATAATAATGATTTGTAAGTATATTAGTAGACTGAACTATTATGAATTCTATGTCCAAAAAAACCTTCCATCATCAGGAGAGGTTCATCCTTCCAGACAGCAGACACAAGCCTGGAATAGACTTTTGATTTGAGGTTCCACAGTTTCACTGTAATTGCTGTTTTTGGACAGAAGCAAATCTTAATCCAACACCCAAAGGTGATGTTGCGCTAATGTAAAACAAAGGTTGTGTTCTCAATTTTCTAACCATTATTTGATCTGTTTAACTTGTGCTGACTGCAATATAATTTTGTCTTGAATCTTACCATGTCACCCCTTTCACCTGGATTCCCCCTCTGTCCCTGTGAAAACAACAAAGGCACAGAGTTTCATTTTATAACATGCTTTTAAAGTTAGACACACTAAAGTCTGTGCATATCACAAAAAAAAAAAAACCTAACACCAGACTTTTTGTAGCGTTTTTGTACAAATTACAAATATTACCTACAAATCTGATTGTGATTTACGGCTAATTGATATGAGTGTTCAGTCATTTTTATAACTGCTATTTCTGCAGACCATGGACCTAAATTTCACAATCTAAACAGACTTAACCCTGACCTGGAATCAAGAGAATACTTTTAATTTCTGACTAGATGTTAAAATTCTGGTGATATCAACAAAAACAGATCATGGAAATACCTTGCTTCCCTTCATTCCTGGCATGCCTGGGTGCCCTGGTTGACCTGGACTTCCTGGTTGCCCTGCACTGCCCTTTAAAAGCATGCAGTTAAACCCAGTAGTTAAAAATGGAAGCAAACAAAAGAAATAACTGTTATTTAAGAAAGATGCTGTTCAGCCAGAACATCATAACCAGACCCTTCAGAACACTGGCATAGGACCTGTCAGGGTGTCCTGTAGGGTCTAGCTTAGGGTTGTAGAGCTTCTGGATTAATGAGTGGGGCCTCTGTGGGGTCATACGGTGGTATTCAATGGGTTTTTGCAGCTGAGGAGTTTCTATAGGAGTTTGTCATTTTCTTTTTGCAGTTCCTGATCAGTGTTTGTGGTGTGGCAGGGTGCATTGTCTGCCTTTGTGGTCTGTAACACCGTTTAGGTATGTAGTATGCATCAAAGTTTAAATGCCAAATGTTTCCCACTAGAACATTCCATTTTAAATAAAGGAAAATAATGTATTTTACCTGTCAGTGTGGTTTGTAGTTAATGTTGTGGCTAATCAGTGTGTACTGTGGTTTTGATTTATATACTGCATTAATTATCAGCTTCCAAAAGAACTTGCTCATCTGGTTCATATTTAAATGGTAACATACCGCAAGCCCCGGTGTGCCTTTTATGCCCGGACTTCCTCTTTCACCCATATTCCCCTTAATTAAGAGATAAAACACATTTTAGATTGCAGAAAGAATACAATGAGATAGCATCCAAACCGCATCCTATTATGTGGCTGATATTTTTGCTTTCTTATCATAATTCATTTTCAGTGATACATGCCATAGTTTGAGCATACTTTCATGAGGTTTTGGGATTGTGCAGTTTGAAGTTTAATTGTGTCTAGTCGGTGCTTTCTTTTCCAGCTGAACAAGCCTCTGTAATTGCAGTCTGAAGTTCAGCCATAAAATCAAAGTAGTGCCTGCATGTCCATAAACTACGTTTTCACTTGTGTGCCATTCACCAATACGCATTGGCTTGTTAAAAGCAGATCAGCTAATGAAAAATGATTAGGAGACAGCGTGTCCAGACCAGACAAGCCCAGACTGCTTACATTTCCACTAAAATTCCACTGACGAAAGCACTAGATCCTGATCATTGCTTAATTTAGCTCCACTGGAGAGGCCAGAAGATCGTTACTTGTTCTAAAGTGTATTATAGCAAAACAGGGACCAAACAAAACATGCAATGCTGCCGGCCAAGTACTTTTTCTTGTTTTTCCTCAAAGCTTAGAAAGCATCAAAGATTCAACATTATCCAAACTAATGTGATCATGTGCTGCAATTCATTTAGTATCGGCTGGACAATATATATACTGATGCATGACATCATGCCATACTGATCTGCTGTACTTGGAGGCAGCTGCACTGCATTGTAATTGGAGACAGTTTCAATCAAGCTTGAGCTTGCTGCTCACTAATGCAAGCATGGATTAATGTGGATTAATCTTAAGTTATTGATTTCTCTGTGTCGCACTTTTAACTAGTGCATTCACAGCCCGAGGGCTATGGAGGGGGATAAACTCACGTTAACCTCATAGTTTATCCTGTATTAAATGTCTGTTGGTAAGATCAAAGTCAGCCATTATTTCTACTAAGTTCATTCTTTTTTTCATCACAGCTGTTTGAAGAAGCTCAGACATGATGTTCTAACAGGTGTAAATCATTACCTTCAGTCCGATCGGTCCTTGCAAACCTGGTTCACCAGGTAATCCCATTTCACCCTGCAAAAGAGGGCAAAACTGTGTTGCTAACTCTTCAGATCAAACATAAACAAGAACAGCTATTAACTTACAGGTGGTCCAGTCGATCCTTTAAAGCCCCTGGGTCCAGGCTCACCAACTTCTCCCTTTAATGAGAATCTTATCAGTCAAATATAGTCATAATTAATAAAGCAAAACCATTGTTGAGTTTGCTTTGCACATACATTAGGAGCTCTTACCTTTTGTCCATCCAGGCCTGCATTTCCAGGCAATCCAGGCATACCCTAAGAGCAACGTGGTGTTCCAGTTAGTATATTTAATAATGAAAAGAAGACAATATGACTATCAGTGCTACAGATTTGCATTGTAAGGAACAGAAATGGCATTTTTTAAAATAAAATTTCAAAGTCATCGTTTGACTTTATGCCTTACCATTGTTGTGAAATGATCATTTCATTGTGTCAGTAGCAATTGTTGTTATTTTCTCTCCATAAAAAAACATTATCTAGTCCTTGTGGATGGAGAAATGCCTACCAAAATGTTATGCTTCCCAGATGTGGTTGGTTAGTTTACATGAGAAGCAGAGTAAAGTAGCTTGAGGCTTTTTTTGAGGTTAAATTCTTGTGAGTAACAATTTAGTAAATGTAATCACCCCCAAATCAAACTATTTCCTGCAATTTAAGTTTGTTCTTTAAACTAAACCACATAGATCCCTGGAAAAACCCCTATGTGCCTCAGCTGAACCTCAGTTAAATACACTGTATTTGCAGATAAATGCAATAATTTTTAAGTGAATGGTTTAATGCACTGAAAGTTTTTTAAGGTCAGCGTGCAGCAATTACTATACTTTTTTGTGTTTCAGTTATCTCCCATATGGAAAAGATATATATAAATCTTATAAAGTTTTTATCTGTCTTGTATGAAACTTGTATGAAAAGCATACAAGAGTGAAAACACATATAAGATCCCTTGAAAAATTATATAATGAAACCTGTATGTTTTGTATACTTACTAAAAAAATATATGAAAGTAATGAGAAAGTGGCCACTTTCATGAGTAAATCATGTAAGCCTTATATGATTTATATATGATTTACTCATGAAAGTGGCCACTTTCATGAGTAAATCATATATCATATGGGCTTTTCTTAAATAAATGCTTTCAGATGCTGCCTTACACTGAAGTTTCAGTGTGCATAGAGGACAGATGGGATAGGAAGGCAGTGAGAGAGTATATAGTGTTGCCGTGAACACATAGTCCTCTCCAACACGTGAAGAAATCCCCTTGTTGGGACCTACAAAGGAGAACTGCATCTTGTTTTAACTTGAGGAAGCTCAGTTCTAATCCTGCCTCCTTGGATACGTTGCTAGCGCTATTGTTCTGATGGGGGAAAATGGCTTACAGCCTTGTGGAGCAACTGAGTCATCTTTTGCAGACCCATCGCAAACGTTCGGACGAGGCTTATAATCATGATCAGGGGGGTGGCTGCCCAGTTGAAAGACTTTCTTCCTAAAACAGATTTTCCAGAGCGTCACAGCATTCCCCCGATGAGTTACTTTCACTGCATGAGTCTGTTTGTTACATAACAGGGTTATCCTGGGATGAACTACGGGGAAATACCCCTAATTTACTGCCTGTCAGGGGTAGTCTTCGTACTTACACTGTGTTAACACTGCAGTCTTCATACACCAAAAAACATTATACGTGCAAACCTGCATGATCCGTGAAATCGGCTCTTGCAGTGGCCTACTTTACTCTTCTCTTTGTATGTTTCTACTATTATCTCATGCTAGAACATTTGTAAAACATTATGTAATGTACCACAGTCACCGTGTTCTGCACTTCTGGTTCAAAATGCTTTGCTTAAAAGTTAAAATCTAAAAAACAATATGATATTCATGCAAGTCTTCAATGTCTAGGACTCCAATTAAAGTTGCAAGACAATAGCAGCAGCTTAAACAACCTGGAAAATACCAAACCTTTGATCAGCACTGTCTATGTGTGTGTTTATGACTTACAGGATGGCCTTCCCTTCCGTCAGTACCAGGAATACCACTGGCTCCAGCTTCTCCCTTAATACATTTGAAAAAAACTGACATTTAATTTAATCAAAATTTATAGTTAGATCCCTCAATTCCGATACCCACATGCCAGCTCAATCACAGTGCCCGACATTTTAGTCAATTTGAGTCAGTCAGTCGACATCTATTTAAAATGTGAACTTCATGCTCGATGTTTACAAAAGCTGGGAATTGGAAAAGGACAAGAGGGACACTTGGTTATGCATGATTTGATTTCCATGGTTGCCAAAAGTCAACAGCACAACATAGGGGAACAACTAAGTCTTTTAGGAGTGTGTGCACTCATCCACCTCGTGTCACTATTATTCCCCTAATCCCTGAATGAGCTTTGTAACATACTACACTGTCAGAGCAAACAGACCTTTTGACCAGGTCTTCCTGGAAATCCACCCTTTCCATCTCTCCCAGGTAGACCCTGAAATCACAGAAAATTTTATTATATACACAATTATGATGGGCTGTGAGTCGATTCTCAGTTTTTTATACATACAGGTTCTCCCAGAGGACCTTGTGGCCCAAGAGGTCCTATACTTCCTTTTTCTCCCTGACAGTAGACAATCAGCCAGTTAAAGCATGCATATTTCATGTTTAAACCTCTGAACTACTTTCAGGATTGTGTGGACACGTACCACATGTCCAGTTTTTCCTGGTAACCCTGCTGCTCCCGGGGTCCCTTGTGCACCCTAAGGAAAGATTTTCACCTTCAGACAGTCGTGTATCAACATCTGCTCCAGAGTATCAGAGTTGTTTGTGATATACATTGATGGAAAAGCAAACAACTTTTTGTTAATCTGAGGCCCATAATGTAGACAGAGAACTTCATAGTAAAGTCTGCTCTGTCACAAATATGCAGCAGCAGTGGTCTTTTCTGTTGCCTAGATAGACAGTGAACTTAACTATTTAGACTGAAACTTCAGGGAGTGGCATGTTGTATTGCATCATTGGATATTTTTAAATTTGCACTTGTTGACCCAAAACTAGACATTAGTAAAGTTTCTGTTATGCGTTGCCAAGTTAAGGGAACAATGCGTCACTGGATTATAACTTACTCAGAAGGAAAAAAGCCTGATTTTGGAACAAACGGGGAATTGCATCACTTGTTTTTCTGCATTCAAAACTATGCTAATGGCCTCAAGAAGGAACAAATTACTGTATAGTGCAATACCAAGATGACATTTGTTACTGGCTGACTCAGTGACTTTGGTGGGCGACATTTTTATTGAGATTCTGTTTGCAAAAATATGCTGAATGCAAAAAACACCGTTGGAAAAGTGTAGACGTTTCTCTCTTTCTGTCTCAGCCCCATTTGTTGTTCACTTAATAAACATGACCCAGTAGCATTCTCATACTCAACTGTCTCAAAAAACACATCAGAAATCTCCCTGGCTATAATACTGTAATCTTGTTTGCAATGGATATCAAATGAGCTATGGCAGAGGGATTAAAGAAGCATTTATGAAAGCTTGTTGTTGGTCTTCACGCTGCAGTGAATTTTGATAAATAGGGTTTTGTTTTACTTGTAAATGCTAAGATGTGCCAACCTATATGACAACACAGAGCTTAAAAGAAGGACATTCTTGGAGACTGCACTATAAGCTGACTGACCAGTGACTTGCAGAAAGCTTTTGCTATGGGGCTCATGCTAACAGGTGTGTTTACTTTCGAAGCAGGGGTGCGGTTTTCATTGATTTCTGCTGAAATGAATGCCACCATTGTAGTTACAGTGTTAATAAACTACAGAGATCAATATCACAGGCTGGATGCCCACATAATTAGCAACAAATTGTTCATTGAAGGGTGATGAATGACTGCGGCCATGAACAACTACCACAGACTGCAAATACACAAACATAACCTTGAATTCTGTTCTCCTGGCTTAATTTGGCAGACATCTCATGTTTCTGTTCTCTACATCCTATGCCAGGAAAAAAAGATTGCACCCTTGGTGGTCTTACTATATGGGAATAGTTTGAAAAGGCAGATTGAAACATGTTTGTATCCAAAGAAAACAGTTTATTCTGCAAAGGGAGGAACCTAAAGAAAAGCTTTCGTAGGTCCTTGCTAGGAAAGGTTTTTCGGCTATTGTTCTGCATTGGAAACAGAACAATAGCCGAGAGGAAACGCCTTTTGACCCAGACATGAAGGGAAATTTGGTTTGATAGTTTCATTTAGACTATTTAAAGCTGATTGCCAAATAGTTATAATTTATGATATAATTATTCTTTCTCCCACAGCTAGGAGGATTTCATGCATGTAGTCCAATAATGCTCTTTTCACTGTTTTGGCCTCACAATGTGTGTGGAATGTCCTTCAGTGAAGTCCGGGCAGAAAAGCCTCTGTCCATCTTCTGACGGAGACTAAAAAACAGACTACCTCTGCTACCTCTTACTCAACAAGAGCAATCCAAGACTGCATGCCTCTGCCAAGGTTGAAAAATTCCCTCCACACCGTCCATGAATTAAATCCCTGGATCCAGAAAGATATCTGGATCTGGACTAGTTTGTGATACTGAGACAATGTCTCTCTGCATTTCTCGTAATGGTAAAGAATTCTTCCAAAAGTTCCTGGATCTAGACTCATATTTAGATTGACTCCAAACCCCTTATTACTTATAATCTGGGCAGACCCTATTTCTGGTAAAATCTTCATGCATATCTTTAAGAGTCCTGCAAGCAACCTAACAAACCAAACCAAACCAATTACGTAACACAAAATTCTTTTAGAGCTCTGTTTATAAAAGAGGTACTCCCACATTTGGACGATATTTAGCTTTTGCTCCACTTAGGTTAAAATTCACTTCTTGTAAGTCACTGTCTGCCAGAAGAATGTAACACAAGTAGAGGTCCAATTATGGAATTTCAAAAGAGCGCTGGAAATGGGATAAAATAAATAAATAAATAAATTCACCTGGTCCTTAATAGTGTAGTGTCTGCTTATCGAGAAGACCGTCCAGCAGCTTGTAAAAACCTAATGTGATACATCCTGGACACATGTGTCCGGGACAGATGGCACAGGAGGATTTACTCCAGGCGCAGAAAAGTGTCAGCAGTCAGCTGAGAGAAGTTTTTAGACCAATACTAAGTGCTTGAATTGTTCTCCCCTTCAGCCAAATAGCAGGGGGCCCCTGTGGTCCCACTGATGACTGATGATATGACAGAAATGATGCAGTTTGCAGCAGCTGCATTAACTTAGTGAACTTTAAAGCAATGCTAAACACAAAATGCTGTTCAGATGAACATAAAAGGGACTCTGCTGTGTCTGTTGTTGCTGTTTCGGTTATCGAATAAAGAAAAAAATGCTGGATCACTTAGGCTTCGCTTGCTTTTAATTCATTTTTAATGGTCATTTCTACGAAAAAATGTCCTTCCAAGGAAGATTTTCAGACTTTCTTGTTGCTGGATAAAATTTAAATTTTCTCAATTTTTTCATTTGGACCTGTTGTGGTGGCTGGCACATTTCAGCGTACATATGATGTATCCTATCATATAACAACATGCATAATTTTCTATTTGTGTGACTAAACAGTGGAAGCTGTTTTTTAGCTGATGCACCACTTATTGTGGGTAAGTCTTGATTCCATAACTTGGTTTTGTTGTCATCTAAGGCTTAGAGATTCCATCCATCCATTTCTGAAAATCACTTGTCCAAATAAGGGTCATAGGTCAGAAAGTGCTTTTCCCAGCGGTCATGGGATGAGAGGCAGAGTAAACCCTGGGCAGGTTGCTAGTCACTTGTATTTTTTCCAGAATTATGAGGTTTATTCCTAACTGAGATCCATGTGACACATATAGTCCTCTGTCAAGGCATGATCAGTTTTGTTAATTTGGTTTCTCAGATCACGTGGTCTATCTACAACTAAATATTAACCGCACTTCTTGTAATCCAGTCCTAGGACCTCTACCTTAAATATTGTAGTTATAGACTAAAAAGCAAGGAGAAGATGCAACTCGGGCTGAACAAGACACCAAGAGGAAAGAAGATGCACCCCCGGTTCTCTTTTTTAACGTTCCTAGGAAATGGCAGTACAAAAGTCAGGAAATATGAACACATTTAAAAGGTCTCCGATGACCCTCCTGCTCTCTCTGCTCTCTTGTTCCACACTATAGATGCTGTACTTTTTACTCTCCCAATGGATCTGCTTTATCTTCAAAACATATGGCTTCTGGAGTGATTGATGCAACAATGTTCAAAGTTGATGTGTCTAGCAGGGATTTCCTCTCAATCCTACATTTGATCTCATAAAAAAAAAGATTTAGCTTGAAAATTCAATGTGTTTTTCTACTTTTAACTATCGTTTCTTGTTCTTTTTTTCCCTTCCAGCTATAGCAGAGTTTCCATGCTTGAGCTGATTTCTACAGAAATATAAGGAACTGGATCTAGATACTATATTAATGAATAGAAATGAGGCAACAGCTGAAAATAATAAATAACATCAGCACCTTCTCGCCTGGTTGTCCAGGTGGCCCCGGTAACCCAGGAATACCCCTCTCACCCTGAAAGAATAAACTTGTGTTTAAAAAAAATGTCTATCAGTCGCCACAAAATCATGCGTGACACCACAAAGTGTTATTTGACCTTCCTACCGAAACACCGGGCCTCCCTTGCTCTCCTTTGTACCCATCTGGTCCACGTGACCCCTTAAAACAAGGAAAATGAAAGCTGCTTTAAATTTTCAACACTATCTTATCACTGACTTTTCATCCACTGGTTATTGATTTACCTTAATTCCCGGCGAACCTGGGAAACCTGGAATTCCTCTAAGCCCAGGGATACCCTTGAAATAAAATAAAAAAAGACAAGAGATGCACACGTTTGTTTAAACATCTGAATCCCCTCCACTGTGTGCATGCTCTCTGGGTGATTCTAGGCTGCGGGCAGATGCTTTTTCTGAGTTTTTGATCATGCTGTAGAACATGTGGTTTACTTTTGGATAGTTTTCATCACACAAAATCACCACCATGTTGCCAGTGCTGCTATAAGCAAAGATGTTTCTTATTTAACCACTGGAAAATTAAGAAAGTAAGCACATTTACCAGTGTGTTTTAACATTCTGAAGCAGTCCTGACCACATATAATGAATAAGAAGAAAACCGTTATGATCTACTGGACACAGATACTCAACTGGCTTTCTCAAAAGCTGCTGTGGATGCTGCTGTTGGTGATTATGTTTGTATATTGAACTATGTAGTACTCACAGGCTTACCATCAGCACCAGGAGGACCAGGCTGACCAGGAATACCAATGCTTCCTTGCTCTCCCTAAAGAAAGTGGAATGACGTTATTCAACCATGTGTGATTAAAACTGTATCATGCAGTCTCAAAGCAGTAAAGTAATCCATTTAACACACCTCCGGTAACAGTAAACTTTCTCACAGTGTTGATTTAATTTATCTATAAAGAATGCTTAGCAAGCTTGTTTATCTAATGTAAGATGCACCATGTGGGGTCTTAAAGAACATCTGCACGCCAGCAATGTTCCCAGCATTTTGGATCTATTAGTAAATGTAATAAAAGCATACCGGTGACCTTATAAACACAAACATTAACAAAGAGAGTCTTTTGCCAAGCTTATATCTCTCTGAGGTCCTTGTATAACGGCTTTTATGACCGGGGCTTTTTGATACCCTGTGATCAATAATGGCAAACATGTAGGTTTTATTTCTCACTTTGGTAATTTTCCATTGCACCCAGTATTTATCTTTGACAGCAGTCTGGTTTGGTTTAAGAAAAAAAAGTACAATACTCCGAACATGTCCTTACAAGACAAACTTTTTCACACCATAGCAAGCCTCACTGGAGAAAAAAAGACCACTTGGTGCATCCATAAATTTTAATACTGTTAGGTTTCAGCAGGTAACTGTGTGCTTAAGAGATTAAAGTGCTAAAACTTCCCACTCAGCACCGTTTCTGACACAATCTGTTTTCACAAGCTAGTAGGATCTGATCTGTTGGTGAAGTGCAACGTGTGCTCGTCATTTACAGGATGTCTGCACACAGTTCACTAAGGCTGAGCTATAAGAGAGGGAAGGTTTGAGTTCTGCCCTAATACAGTTTGTCATTCCTGAGTTTACACATAAATTCATACTGTTAAAGATAAAGTTGCTTTTGTGATAATTAATCTCTTCAGTCCACTACAGCTTAAAGCAAATATTTAATGAGCTGTCTGGACACTGAGGAGCTGGACAAGGCAACAATGTATGCCAAAGCAGGAACAAAGTCAATGTGTCTGCAGTGTTGGCACACAGGCAAAGAAAGATCTTGTGACTAGATTCAGCTCTTTTTTAATATGAACAGGGCAATAGGGTGTCTGAGCGATCTCATGGTTAGATACTGTGTGCAAAGCAAAACGACAAAAGGCAAAGACTGTGAGGAAAGAGACAGAAAAAAAACCTGACCTTCATTCCTGGTTGTCCGGGAGGTCCAGGAGGACAAACACAAGGTTCTGGAGTCGGTTCAACGCGATCAGAGCACTGTAATAACCAAGCATAACAAGAAATCACAGCCACACACTAAACATAATCTGCAAAGCTCTGATATTAAGGTTTAGTCTTTGGGTTATTTGTTTTTTCTCATTAAAACTGAAAATATGCATCACAATTTCTTGAAACCACTTTAAAGCTGCAAAACATGAGAGAGGGATATAATATTCAAAGGATGCAAAACAGAGAAAAACAACACATTCTCAAAAATCAGAAGGTGAACGACAAGTACAGGCTTTAAAAATTCAGTTCAATTCAGTTTTATTTCTATAGCACCAAATTACAAACAAGTACTTCAAGGCGCTCTACATCGTAAGTGAAAAACCCTACAATCCCCTGTGGTCGAGCAAATGAATAAATAACATCCTTACATATGAATTGTTCTTGTCATTTTTAATTAAATTTTTTAGGAATTCTAAGAATAGTAAAATAGAGTTGATAACATGATATAAACAGCTTCACTATGTTTAGCTCTAGCCTACTTGCATATGTACACTGGATATGTAGGTGTCGGAGAGCCTCCATTCAAAAGAAAATTGATGACCAATCCTGGAGATTCCAAACAAACCACTGAAAAGCACACACAGAGAGAGGAGAGAAGTAGCGATACTTGGAAAGCATTTGTAATTTTAGGCTTCTCATCTTGTCTCTTTTGATATTTTTATCCAACAGCTTCACATGAAAAACAGTTATTTGGCACTGGCTTTTGCGGTTGTAGCAAATCCCAAGCCAACAACGGGCCACTGCTTTGCAAACACAGTTAGAGCCAGCAGGCAATAAAAAATATAGTGCAACATCTCTGAAGCTGAGCCACGGGTCCTCCTCCAGCAAATTATTCTCCGCATGAACAGATGTGTCTTAAAATTAATATGCTGAGCTTACACCTTCGCTTGTAACGCTGCAATGGACTACTGATGAAATAACAGGAAAGAAAGCATCACTGTACAGTCTGAGGTGTGGAGTTAACTGAGGATGAAATCTTTGGCTGCGCCATCACGGGGCGCATTGCAGAGCAGAAGCAGATGTAATTAGGAGAGGTGAAAAGTAGGTGAAAGTACGTTATCTTTTGGATGGAAAAACAGGTGTTGGGCCAAGCAGACTCATATACTTACAACTCCAGGTATTTCACAAGCAGTCTCCCGATTGTTCTGCTCAGGGTCACAGTAAATGCGAAGTTTCTGAATTTCAAACTGGGAAAAAAAATTTAAGGAAGAGGTTGTTGTTAGAAACAAAACTTCCGATATTGGGGACAAACAGATTGTAATATGTGGCCAATTACGCGATACTTATTTTAGTTTTATCGGTGCTTTGCCACTAATGAATTGTAACAGCTATTGTATAACTGCTGAAGAAAAATAAGTGCCCTGATTGGCTGCTGAGCTGCTACATGTTGCCAGACCTCCCTCAGTGTGCACAAATGCTCTGCAGTGTTGTTACGCTATTCTTCCATTATTTGGTTATTTGGTTTGTTGTGCTGGTAGTGAAACATCTCCAGGAGGTCCCAGGGACTGCGTCACTTCAGTTACCATGTGAGCATAATAATAATAATTTACATAAAATAAAATAAAAAACCCAGATCAACACATAGCTTTGATAATGGCACTGACTTTAAACCTAAATAGGTTTGAATATAATAATATAATTTCTAGTTGGATGACTATTTTTACTTATATTGTTAGTGTAAATTGGCTGGTTTTATCTTTCTGTGTTTATAAAGGCTCAATAACAAAAATGTGTTTTCAATTACAAGTGTGTTTATTCAGAAATAATACCATGACTGACATTGTTAAATAGCTCAGAAATTCATGGTCCTTATGACAATGGATAAGCACATAGAAAAACATTCACTGTGTTTAATATTGTGGTTCATGTGAATATATTCCCAGGAATGTTGAATGAATAAAAGTTGGTATTCTTTCAAAACAAAGGATTTTCTCATGCTTCCCAGTTCTTCACGTGTCTTGTTTTAGTTCTGGTGAATCTTATTGCATTAACTAACACTGCGGCACAACGGTGACATGAGAAACCTGCACATCTATATCATGCATATGGGCCTCGGGCTCCTTTATGTAACTGTTTGTGTTCCATCAAACTGAAAATAAGAATGAAAACATCTAGAGTGCAGAGCACATCTATTCTTCTTTTCAGTGTGATTATTGTTGGCTCACTGAGAACTGACCTCCATATATCTATCTATGGAGCAAATTACAACACAGCACTACTAATACAACATTTTTAGTGCAAATGGTGCCAACTGAGACAAATAAAACAACGATTCATAAGACCATGTGAACAAAAGGGTTCATTTTTGCCAAGGATTTATCACCCACGGAGTTAAACATGTCTCCTAGGAGGTAGCAGTAAACTGCATGGTATTGTGTGATCTAGTTAAAAACATATATTTGTTTGCTTAGCTACTCATTAAACAAATGCTCATAGACTTACTGGCACTGTTGTTTCCTTTCTGACATATTTTCCTACTTGGGTTTTTCCATTGATGAAAATGCCAACAGGGGGCTCCAGTGATAAGGTTTCAATTTCCAAGTCATCAACATAAAGAGTGACATCCTCTTCGGTGACCAGCAGACGTAGCTGGTGCCATTTCTCATCAAACAGCTTCATTTATCATAGAAAAAAAACAAGAATAGCCAAAACACATTAAAACAACCTAGTGTGATGATAAACACATGAAAAGGGAACCTATTATGCTCACTGCCAGATCTGTGTTGTTTTTTCTTTTTCTTGGACTCTACAAGATTAGCTCTGTATGATTCACAGTTTGGGCCTTTAAACAGCCCCTCACTGTCTGAAAACAGTCTTTTTCTCATTGGCTGCCCCTCACAAACTGAAGGTTTGAACAACAAGTGAGTGAGTATATGGCAAACTATAAAGAAGAGCATAATAGGTAAACTTAAAATAAAACTTTGTGTACATTGCTTTGCAACAGTTTCATCTTCTTCAAAGCTATACAAAGCTGGCATCAGGATTAGATTTTGACCCTCACACACTTTAATAAGGATTGTTTGGCAGTCATAGCTACCATACAATCTCACAATACTCATTTAGGACATTTTTCCACTTCAGTTTTAAGGATGTGCACAGTTTTATAAACAAACAACAGCAAAGTGCTGCCAGGCAGTTTTGAGATGTGACCTAAAAGTGAGAACCAAGATCATCATTTTGATCAGGTGTTTCAGCGAGAAAGAAGATTTCATGTATGTATTGCACTTATGACTTAACTCCAGTGGGGATCATGTTTTGTCGTTCTGTCTGAAAAAGAAATTGCATTTATTGTATATTCTAACCTGTTTGTTTTGTTGTGTTGTACAAAAACATGAAGAGAAGATAAATGACCCGGTACAGCTTAAAAGCATCAGTAAAAACTAGAAAACTATTTCAGGTACAAGAGACAGATTGAACCAGAATGGTCCAAATGAAACCCTTAGAAGCTGAGATAGCCCAACTTTTAGCCACTTGTATGGCTTCTAAATGGGCTTTACCTCTTTTCCCATAATGCAAATCTGTTTTGAATTAGCCTGTCTTCCTCTTAAACATCCTCATGTTCTCTGAAATAGCTGGAGCTGTCTTGAAAGGCAAAGAGAACTTAAACTGATGACACCACAACAGTTATTTTGACTTAATAAAGCTCTTACAAAACAACAGAGGATACAGCCTTTACACAGTGTTACCTACCTTTGCTGTCTGTTGTGAAAAAGTAACAGTCTGAATCCCATTTGGTGCCTTGCTGGTTGTTGTGAACATGACGGTGTGGTCAAAACCGTTTAAAGTTACCGCCATCTGAGGTTTACCATCTCGTGTCTGTACTCTCCACAGGTCCCACTCCTCTTCTGCAAGTGATCCTTTGTACCTCAATGTGGCCACGAAAACATATGAAGGAGGCAGGCCATCAGGAAAAAGGTTCCTGAAAAATAGAATAAATAGAAGATGGTCAGCGTGTCATACTTTGTCATGCATAAAGATGATAAAGAAAAGAGAAAAGCATCCATAATTACCGTGTAGCTTCACTCAAGTCAACACGAGACGTCACCTGATAGGCCTTAGAGCCATAAAACGTCCCTTGAGTGTTCTTTGCTTTTTTTGCCAGATTTAAATGTAACAGGATATCAAAGCCCTTCTCGTCACGGGAATCTATAGGAATTCTGGCGGGACAAACAGTCTCTGTAACAGAGAAACGCAATAAAAAGGACAGAACAAGAGGCTGGATGACAAATGGAGTTCTTTATTATATTAAGAAAAAACACTATACTACTAGCACGAGAGTAACATTTGAACACATTTAACTTCATCATATTGGAGAAGAAAAACACAGACAACAATCAACAGCTGCTTACCTTCACATAGTTTCTGTCTTATGACCTGCCTGATCCTGGAAATAGCTTTGTAGTCCTCAACAGAGAAGACATAAGTTGAAAATGGCTTGTTTGCAATGTCCCTCAGCTCATCCTTTTCTGTCTCTGGACCAACACCAATTGCAAACAGGATTACTCCTTTTTTCCTCGCTGCCTCAGCAGCTTTCAGAACCTCATCTTGAGACTTCCCATCTGTGAGGACAACAGCAATTCTGGAAACGCTCGCTCGCTCAGAGAGGCCAAATAGTCTGTCTGTAGCAAACTCAATAGCTGCCCCGGTATTTGTGTTACCCCCCCTGTATTCAATGGACTCCATCGCCTTGATGAGGTCTCTGTTGGTGGAGTGCTTCCCCAGAGGTATTTCTAAATGGGGACTGTCGCTGTACTGGACGACTCCAACCTGGGTAAACCTCTGCCCGACATTGAAGCTCGTCGTTATGTTGACTAGCCATCGCTTCACTATTTCAAAATTGACATCTTCAACACTCCACGAGCCATCTAGAATAAAGACCAAATCACATGGTGCAGTCCTACAACCTGAAGTGGACAAGAAGTGCACAATTAGCAATGCAAAAAAACCCGTTTTAATAAATCATATTTAGTTGAACAGCTACTAGATATGCAATGCGTTACATGTGATAAATGAAGACAGAAGCATTCTTACTTCTTAGGTCTTCATCTTGAGCCGCACTAAAGAAATGGAGAAGCATGAAGCACAGGCATCTTAACACACAATGCATGGATGTTGATTTGTAACCCATTATGGAGCAGTAACTAGTTCCAAATTTGCACCTACAGGAAAAGGGAAAAATATGCTTTGTATAGCACAGAAAAACAAATGGACAATGCATGTATTTATGACATGGTCACTGTGTATTTCTTGCCTTGAAAAAAGTTAATGACTCAGGCTATTGTTTTCCCAGTTATTATTGTTATTATTAAATGCTTGGCTGACATTTATTTTGGCTCACCCCCAAACCACATGTAGGTGATTATACAGGGTGTGCAATACCTTAAGTTATGACAAGGATGTTGGCCACATAATAGGTTTTTCAAAATGATGATGAATGATTCAAGCTTTGTGTACACATGCAAATTAGAAGCAACTGTGCAGCATTTACGCTTTGAGGTCATGGCAATTCCGTGAATTAATGATTCATACTCTAGTTATGCATTTAATGTTTATCCCCTTGTGCTTTTTCTTTTTTAGAACTGTCTCCGCCACAGATATTACTAGAGATCAATGTCTCGTCAAGCTGTCTGGGTCCATTATCAGAAACTATACTGTAAACTTTGTTGTCAGGTTGAGGCCCAAGTTAAGCAGAGAACAGATGGGGTGATCGGCAGATATCGCACTGTGTTGCTAATGAACTGAAATAATAAAGTTGTAGGGGGAAAAAACAGAAAGACGATGACCTTAAAAAGATGCAAAGAGCTGAGATACTGCAGAGTCAGCTAATAATTCATCCTTGAAAGTGACATTTTCACATTAAAGTTGGGTACTTGATTTATTTCACGTTAAAAATAAATATTAGTTGGAGCAGCTTTAAATTCAAAGTAGAATGCTATTACTGGTATCTTAAAGTTACACTAACCCTAAGCCAAAAAGTTTTGGCATCAGCCACACATAAGGTAATGTAATTGTGACATAATGCAGGACAAGTTTTCACACTACGCTTTTCCTAGAGTGCTAAACCGCAAAAGGAAAAGCTCCAGGGTATCATGCTCTGTTGACAGCACTACTCAGTAGCCACCCAGAATACGACATGACTGACTCGCACTGCTGCCATCAGGTATAAACCCTGTTATACTGTATTTGCTAACATTCACTTCCTCGCTCCAATGCTGCCACAATTCCCGCGTGACTCCAGAAATTCCATATTTACTAATAAGCACCACTAATCTCCTCACATCTCCCTCGCATCCTTCCTTCATGTGGCGCACAATATTTTTCCGATCTCACCGCACAGCCTCCGCCGCCTCCGTACACCTAAGCATTTTCCCTTCGAGCCTCATCAACCACATCCTCACATGGCTCTGTCAGCTTCACCAAGTAAACAATTTATTGGACCTCTGACCACAACTGCTCTGAAAACCAGTGCTCAGTGTTTCCTGTGGGATTATCAGCTGTTTCCTCAAATCTGCTGCCATTTGCCAATCTCTGCCCACCCTTGGCCCAAATACAAGACGCCTGCCCAGAAAAGCTTCACTCCCACACTTTCCCTCCTCCTCTTCCTTCTTTCCCATCAGCACACGGAGAAATGTTAACCGGTGTCTGCCACATGCTGCTAAAGACGTACAGCAGTTATGTTGTCAGGTGGGTCATTCTTATGAGTAAGGTTATTGTACACTCTGGCAAAATGTTTAAAGTTTTGGCAGAAATGAACATAGAGAATGAAAGTTTGGGGAGATGCCTGCTAAAGTGTTTTGCACTTATGATTAATCACTTTTGTTTTTCTTCCATATTATTTTAAACTCTCTTCGGCTTATTCATCACTTTTCTGGCTCTGCTACATTAGCCTCACTTGTGCTGACAATTTATTAACTAATTGACAAACTCCATCGTGATCTCACTTCCCAGCCTCTACTTATCCACCTGCACAACAATGTCATTGAATGATACTGAAATAAAGCAGTTTCAAGGCAAGTGCACAAAGCAGAGTTTGTCTTTTAACAGTACTTAATACTAAAAAAATACGTGTCTGTATTTTTTTAGTATATTTTAGAGGTAAGCACTAATGCTGTTGCATTATATTGCAGTGCAGTGATCATTATGTTTGTTCTAATAGATATATGAACAACACCGTAAAACGAATGAAAGTTTTGTTTTTATATTTAGCATAATGAACTAGAGAGTGCAACATACAACTGTGTGTTGCTTCTCTGGCTCTTGTATTAAATCATCCGTTAAAGTGGTTCCCAACACGTGAAAGAAAGAAACTGCTGACATGCTGAAAGGAAGCGGTTACAAATGAGGACCAGATATGCCGCATGCAGTAAAAGACTCAGGCCTTGTGGAAGGAATTTGATGGGAAAAAACTGACCATATACCTTTTTGAAGCTTTTAATTGTGACATGTGAAGGTCAACGAACACACGGAGCAGGACATGACCCCTGGCCTCACGAGTATTTTTATTCCTGTGCGGGCAAAGAGCGGTCACACTCTTTAACATAACTAAGTTTTTCCACTGTGTAAAGTCAGCGTGGAAGTGACACCAGCTGAAGGAGGCGTTAAGCTGCCGTCGTTGTGCAAGCCGTTTTCCTCAGAATTTTTTTCCCCCGCTAGAGAGCTGGAGGAGGTTGCTGGAAAACCCCCTCACTGGCAGCGTCCAGCCAGGATGACTTTCCCCTCAACTGACTTTCCTCAAACCGAGTATTTCTACACCTCTGCTCGAGCCACATGGAAATGATTTGCGCCATCAGACAGTCAAATTCCAGCTGTGGACGGTGACCAGACACATGTAGTCATGATAAAGGGAGTCATCCTTCATCGAGGGATAAAAAAAACCAACGTTGCACGTGCCGTGCCATCATCCTTCATGCATAATGTAGCAGAGTTAACAGGTGCACTCGTGTTGCAGGTAATCATCCCACTGGCGCACTGATCTCTTGTGTTATTGGAGGCAGCACAGACGCTATTAATCTCCAGGTTTTGTTTTTGGTGGTCTCAACAGTGAAGCTGGTATGCAGAGGATTAAATAAAACTAAGTTAAAAGGTCTAAAATAGCTACCACAAGACACTCATTCTGTGCTGAATCTGTTGTTTGTTGCATTTTATTCCACTTTAATAGAATTTTTGTGAAGCTTAGTTTAGTAGCACTTTAGCTCCAGCTGGAAATGCTGTTCAGAAAGCTGCTGAACAAATGATATCTCACATTTCCCCAGATAACATTTCACTTGTTCAGGGTGGGCGACACACACTGAGTCATCACAGATACTAATGAGAGTATCAGACCTCATATTTTAAGCTTAATAATTACACCTTACTTGAAATGTGGCCATGATAGCACTTTTTATTACTAAGCTCGCAACGGGAGAAAATTAACACATTTTTCTATTTGTCTTGTTTCTGTAGTGTGCGCAATGCAACTGCAGACTTTAACTCCACGTGAATTGCTGAAGTTAAAATTATCTGCTGCAAATTTGGCTAAAGGAAGTTGTTCCATTCCAGAAACAACAACTGCTGTTCAGCATGTGCAGCACTTGCCAAGATCGAGGGGATTTATTGCTGCCAAATTCTTCAAGCAACAAGGGAAAGCCAAACCCTATCAGTTGTTCTGCGTGGAAATCTGTTCAACTAATCCAAACAGTTAAATAATGCGTTGTAAAACGTTAGCTCATAGAGGTCCTATAGCTTTTCAGCAAACATCTCCATTTTAAATGAGTTCATTCCTTATTTATGAAGATGATTGTGCTTGACATGCATGCAATTCTTACATATGTTTAAAAAAAAAAGTGCACGAGTACAATACATGCAGTGCAGTGATGCATTATCCAGAATGTTTGCAAAGATTTGAGAAATATGACAGAAAAAAACATTTTATGAGAGGAGAAATTCCATGAAAAAAAATCCTGAGATGAATCCCATTCATTCTTTTAGGATAGTTTCATAAACAAGGGACTGATAACTTATTTAATGTCTTCAATATGCAACTGCAACAAGTCTAGTACACCAAACTAAGCAGTCAAATCTGAGCAATGCTACCACATTATAACACACAGCAGACTGAAAATCATGTTAACATGTGAATGTCAGTGATCATGAACAAACACTTTGAAATTAGCAAACAGTTGTTTTGCTATGCACACAAAAAACCTATACAGCACAACAGCATCTTTAAGTCAGTAAAAACAGAAAGGAAGTCAAAAGTTACCAGTAAGCGTCCAAGCACTTGTCTGAATTCCCATTAATCCTCTCATTGAGAGCCAGTGATCAATACTGTTCACAGCCCCAGATTCACAGAAAGTGGATTTCGCGAGAAGTGCACATGTTTCACTGCTGAATGAAAGCCTGCCCTTTCTAGAAGCTCTCCTCTGTTTCTGTCCTTCTTCCTCTCAAACCGGCCCCCCTCACTCCGGACTTTTACTGGCCCGCAGCCACCCTCAATTACCATGGGTGGAAAGAGAAGCAGATAAGGAGAGCATGAAATAGTGAACCAGACAACCCATCTCCAACAGTCCAAAGGGAAAATAATAGTAATGAGCAGAACTTCTTTCCAAGTGTTGAGGGTTTGGATTGTTGCTTAAGGCATAACCAGAGAACATGGAGTTTTCTGCAGGACAAGCAGCATACAATTTTTGCTGCACTGAGTCACACATATTGTATTCTTCCATGGTACCCTCACCAGGATCAAGAGTGCTCAGCAATACTTTGCACTAGCCCTGTTTGAATTCCCCCTTACTCACTCCAATTCACCACTCAATGGGGCAGCAGATCATGTTATACAAGTCGGCAATGAACAAGGTGTGAAAAGCTACTGCAGTGCCTTTCTCTGCACAGACAGCTGGAAGTCATTAGAAATGCACAACTTAATCTGTTATCTGCAGAGCAGGCAGATTTCATTTTGATCCACACTAACATGTTTTATCATGTTTGTACTCAGGGGCAGCCTGCTCTGCATCAACTAACAACAGCAGCTAGAGGCTCTGTGAAGGCTCCAAAAAGCCTGACACACTGTACAGAACAACACAGTTTTTAAACTTTACCTTGAAGACAAATGCATACAGTAGTAAATCTGTGCAAGGCTGGAACTCAGAGAGCAAAATACATAATAGTGCATCACAACAGATTTATAGTGCAGCATAAAATTAACCTTTGCAACTGTAGATATAGCCAAAACAATGCAAGAAAAACTCAAAAATGTCTCATTTGCATTAAAACAACTGGAATACTAACATTTAATTTCATTATGTGAAATTTATTGAAGTTATTTAATACAAGTAGATGTACTCAAGCAGTTAAAGTAAGATTCCTATCATGTTAATTACCAGTAATAATGAGGATTTGTAATGCTAAATAAAACTAGATTTGATTTTTAAAAAGGCCAGCGTTCCACACTTCTATTTCTGATTATTCTTCATTTGTAATTACATCAAGAATTAAAAAGGAAACTGCACAATTCTTCTTATACTACTCTATACATTATCCCCCTCTCTATAGGGTAAACCAAACTGGTAGACAGCACAGTGATAAAATGTCTAAAAATAGAAATGTCATCTTACGCTAAGAGCAGCAGTGGTTCCTTGATGACGCCCTTAGTGACCCTGAGCCTCAGCACACTCTGGTGGATCACACAGGCATATACTAACTTGGTGCTGGGAACCTGGGAGTGGCCAGCCTTCTGGTGAGACCAGACTTTCCAATGCTGAGTAATCTCCTGTCTCTTTAGTTTGTAACCAACAGGAGATGATCATCAAAGAAACCACAGAGGAGAATGTGTATTTATGCTAGAAGAAATCTAGTCAGTGGTCATATCTGGAAATATCTGATCTGAGCTTATTCAATTAAATGGCACAGGACACTTAAGATAAGCTGTTTTACGGAAAGCATGAAATAATAAATAAGTCGTATTTGATTAATCTTACTTTAATACACAAAACTGTTGTCTGTGTGTTTGTTTGTTTGTTTGTCTGCAAACTGCTCCTACATGATCAGGATTTGAGCAGTAAAACTTTGCACAATGTTGCATCTTAGGTTTCTGAGGGTTCTCATCTATACCATGTATCATGATGTCATCATAATTCTGTGCAACCACCTAGCATTTGGCTAAAAGTGACCTGTTTTCACATTTTAGTACCCCTTTTTTAAATCATCATTGATATTTACACAAGTTATACAAGAAATATTATGGCACCATCATGATACTTGGCAACCACATAGAGATGGGTTAAAATGGCCTGTTTTTTTGTTTGTTTGTCTTGTTTTTTACCTATGTTGACCTACAAGCATCCCATCAATAGCATCCAATCAAATAGGGTGATCGTGGCTCAAAGAGTTGGCCGGAAGGTTGCTGGTTCGAGCCCTGGCTCGGACAGTCTCGGTCGTTGTGTCCTTGGGCAAGACACTTCACCTGCTGCCTACTGGTGATGGCCAGAGGGGCCGATGGCGCAATATGGCAGCCTCGCCTCTGTCAGTCTACCCCAGGGCAGCTGTGGCTACAACTGTAGCTTGCCTCCACCAATGTGAGAGTGAATGAATAGTGGAATTGTAAAGCGCTTTGAGGGCCCCGAAAAGCGCTATATAAATGCAATCCATTGTTATTATCATTTTAATTTTATGACAATAACATGCCATTTATATCTACAAATGGTCAGTAATGCAGATCATAATGCAAACACCTACTAAAAGGCTAAAAATGATCAACAATCACTGTGTAATACAAAATGGACAGATTTCTTCCTTCAAATAAAACTACACAGACTCAGCTACTGTAGCCATGGTTATTGTACAGCTGTTAACAGGGTTAGGGATTGGAGCAGAAAAATCCCTGATGGTGGTGCAACGATAGATAGATAGATAGATAGATAGATAGATAGATAGATAGATAGATAGATAGATAGATAGATAGATAGATAGATAGATAGATAGATAGATA